AACTTTGCAGACATAGTAAATATTTTATTTTTTAAAAATATTTTATTTCTTATTTTTATTTTATGTGTATGAGTGTTTTGCCTGCTTATACATAATGCACAATGTGCATGCAATGCCCCACAGAGGCCAGAAGAGGGTGTTGGATCCCTTGGAACTGAAATTACACATGGTTGTTAGCTACCATATGGGTGCTGGGAATTGAACCTGGATCCTTTGGAAGAACAAGTGTTCTTAACTGCTGAGCCATCTCTCCAGCCTTTGACATAGTAAATATTTTAAAGTATATTCTTCAATATTTTCCTCTTAAATGTATTAGGCCATATATATAATTATACACATTTACTTATGCGTCAAAGTTCCAATGATAGTACCACTTTCTTGTTGATTATGTTCATGATTACTAATTTGATGAAGGAGAAGACAGAGTTATAGCTACTTATACGAGGTAGAAATTTAAGAGTGAAATGTAGGCAAAGGAAGGCACCTTAGGGAAGCCCCAAAACACTATTCAGTGCTGCCTATTTGTTTGACTAATCCCTGAACTACCTGTGCTAGAGAGAGAGAGAGAGAGGGAGAGAGAGAGAGAGAGAGAGAATGAATTTTAAGTTTAGTAAAGTGCCTCAGGAAATCAAAAGTGAACATTCCTCAGGATGTAACAGAATCAAAAGTCTTTGAAACATACATTTACAACAACTGGATTACAATTAAAAATTACTCAGTGTATTAAATAACAGGGGAAAATAGTACCTATGCTTTTTCTTTCTTTCTTTTTTTTTTTTTTTTTTTTTGAGACAGGTCCTCCCTGTAGCCCCAGCTCACCTGAACTCACTATGTAGACCAGCCTGCCCTTGAACTCAAAGAAACCCGCCTGCCTCTGCCTCTGCCTCTGCCTCCCGAGTGCTGGGACTAAAGGCGTGCACCACCACACCTGGCTTGATTTTCTTCAAAAAGTGATTGAACTGCCTAGAGGTAACCCAGATTAGTCAGTAAGAATTCCAGGTGACAAACAGATAGGGTATAATAGCTCATGATGGTGCATGTGCTGTATGAGCCCTAGGTTAGATACCCATCATCATGGCTGTATAAAGCTAGATCTAAGTATGCACTATCTACAAGAGACACAGTTTGTACAGAGGGCGAATGTAAATGAACGGGAAAAAGAGCATTGTATAACAGTAAGCCTGGAAAGGATGCTTTGTTAATAAAGTACACTTCAAGATAAAAAATGCTACCAGAGACAAAGGATGTTCTGCAGTGATAGCAATCATAACATTAAAGCAGTAGCTTGTGCTACCGTAAGTGCCTAGTAACAGAGCTTCAAAGGCCTGAAAGGAAAGTAGACAGAAAAAGGGTTTCTTTTGAATTCTTGAAGTAAAAAGACAATTCTACAAGGATTGTTAGATATTGCAACAATTTTCTCTTAGTAAATTGACAGAAAATTAGTAATGATGTAAGTCCTCATGACACTGTCAGCTGCGTTAGTGCAGTGCTTTTGGTAGAACACTGTTATTCAACAACTACAGAGGCATATTCTTTTCAAGAACACATGATATGTATATGCTGGCCCACAGAACATATTTCAGTCAAATTGTAAAAATTAAAGCAGGCATCCATAGTGGCTCACTGAAATCCCAGGACTTCAGGAGGCTGAAACAGGAAGGTTGCAGTGAGTTTGAAGCCAGGTCAAATGATAAGTTCCAGACCAGTGTAACAGTGAATTTGCAAGGGAAATTAAAAATGTTACAGAGTTGGTTCTTGGAAAGTATCAACAAAATTGAATAAACCTTTTAAGCTAAATTTATCAAGAAGGAAGAACGATCAGGTAGATTATCAAAATCATGAATGGCATTTCCAGGGTTAGCCTGTCACTGCAGATTCCACAGACATAAAGGCCACTAATGGAATGTTAAGAACATTATTTTACTAACAAGTTAAGCATTTTAGATAAAATGCACAAGTTCTTTGAAGAAGATACTATCAAAATTGACTCACAATAAAGCAAAAAAAAATTGTATGAGTAGCCTCATATATAAGTATTGGAGTTGGCAAAAACAACAACAAAAGAAAACTTCCACAAAATTAACTCCAAGGTCAATGATTTTACTTATTAATGCTATGAGGTTTGGGAGGAAAAAACTAATCTTCCATAATAACTTTTAAATTAATGGTTCAGAAATTTTTTTATTAATTTGCCTATTTCATACCCTGTGTGCTAAGTACTCATAGAAAAGAGGCTCTATTAACTCAGGGTCCTCTCCATTGGTTCTCACAGACATGCTCTGGGTGGAACAGCAGGCTGGCCAGGAGCTTACCCAGTACCTTTCTCTTTGGCTTGCTGCTACTGCCTCCCCCTCAGTGTTATGTAGCTCTGGCTGTCCTGGAACTTGCCATGTAGACCAGGTTGGCCTCAAACTCACAGAGATCTGTCTACTTCTGCCTCCCAAGTGCTGGGATTAAAGGCATGTGCCACCATGCCGGGCATCTTTTTCTCTCTTAAAGACATTTTTAAAAATAAGTGTTTACTAATTATACAAAATAGTTTATTGTGACCTGTCCTGCACATCTATGGTGTGCTTTGATCATACTCACTCCTACCCATTAACCGTCTTGTCCCCTTGCCCTGGCGTCCTGTGCACTTTCCCAGCACCTTCCTTTTTGTCAGAGAGGTCTCCTGCTTTCCTGGCTTGTTGCTGCTGCTGGTTTTAAATCTAGATTCTACGTGTGAATGAAAAGAGGCTAGGTTTGTCTTTCTGAGTCTGGCTTCTTTTGCTCAACATGAACTCCATTGTGTATATAGCACATATTTATCCATTCACCTGTATTGATGGGCACCTACACTGATGATGTAACTTGGCTATTGTCTTCCACAAACTTAAAAAATACAGCCATTATTTTGGTGGTTCTAAAGATGAACTAGTGTGAGGACCTCTTGTGTACTGAGCAGGTGCTCTGCAACTGAGCTACATCTTCCTTCCACCAACTTGTTCACTACCCAGAGGAATGAGGAGCAGCTACTATAGCACTAATATTATAGCTGAAACAACAAAACAAAAAGAAAATTACATATCGGTAAGCTTTGTGAATACGTAAGTAAAAATTCTAAACAAAGAATTAGGAAAGCTCAGTCAGTAAGAATACGGGGGGAAAAGTACAACATACACATTTGGTTTATCTGCAGAAACCAAAGTTGACTCAGCATCTAAAAAAGGAAGTTAATATACTTTGCTGTGTTTAATTAACAGAATAAAGGAGGAAAATCATGAGCTACTTGCAATAGATTCAGTAAAGCAAACCTTATTCTGATGGAAAATATTAAGGCATTTTTTTACTCAGCAAATTCAAATAAAGTGAAGAACTCTATTCTCATATTAATGTTGAACATTGTATTAACATTGCAATTTTAAGGGATGTTAAAGACCATATTCATTTGTATACTTGTTTTTTAGATGTCTTCAGGTTTTTGAGATATCTAATTATTTTGTCTTCATAAGAAGACATTTTACTTATTTTTCTTGCTTTCTAATCTCTGGGTAGCCAGAAACATACTCCTATCTCCAAAGAGTTCGAAACCAAACAAAAATATATTTATAGTAATTCAAGAGCATTTATCCAAATTGCATTACGTCTTTCTTTTGTTTTAGTATTTGAAATAAGAATGATTATATTGAATGAAAATTCCATAGCCTGTTTTATCTTAAATTTTCTTTTTCCATTTTTCATGTGTGATATGTATGTATTTGTGTATGGGGAGGTATTGGGGGAGGATTTGTGGAGGCCTGAGGTTGATGCTAGGAATCATCCTCTCTTCCACCTTACTCACTGAGGCAAAATCTCTCAGTCAGACCCAAAGCTTGCTGGTATGGCCAGTCTTGCTAGCCAGCTTGTTCTGGGGATCCCCTGTTTGCAACTTCCAAGACTGGAATTACAGGTGGGTTGCCATACCTACCCAGCATTTATATGGATCTTAGGGGATTCAAACTCCATTCCTCATGCTTGGCTTGGCAAGTGCTTTAACTGCTGTACATCTTCCCAGATCTTAGATTTGCAGGGGGGTGGGGTGGAGGAGGCAGGTGGAAATTCAGATGACATGTGTACCAAAACCATGTCCTTTATTTTCAATTATTTGTAGTTTCAGGGTTCCTCAGTATCTGGTTTGCAGCTATCTATTCTAGGGCTGGGTGCACTGTGGTAACAGTGAGATGCACCCATATACCCTCAGTGCTTCCATGTATCTGGTAACATCATCGTATGCATATGCAAGTGGTAGCAATAAGCAAATACTGATGGGCATAATTTATGATTTTGTTTTTATCTCAGATATTCAAGACTAAAGCAGTACAATTGGCTGAGAAACTCCTTCCTGCCTTTAACACACCTACTGGGATTCCTTGGGCAATGGTAAATCTGAAAAGGTAAACCTCTCGTTTGTGTGGTTACTTCTGTTGCAGAATCCTTAACTGACCTTTTTAGTCACCGGAATTTCTAATGGTCTACCTCCTGTGCTTTTCAAGACTTCTTTTTCTCTGAATATGTAGAAGAAAATGAAAGTCTCTTCTAAGTTTTAAAATACATCCTTTACTTGGGAACAGGTCACCTTCCTTAGCATCATTGTTGTTGCTAGTACTTGTTTCCCCAAGGCCAGATTGCTCTTCCTCACCTGTTGGCTATGCAGTGTTTGTTTCTGTTACGTGCTTACTCATTTCCATCTACTACTGTAATGTATTCAAAATACGTTCCCTTTCTTTCTTAGATACCTTCTCATCTTCTAAACAAAATAGGAAATAACATACCTAGAAATTAAGGCTATTTTGAATGCCATACTAATAATAAAAGAACACATAATTTCCAATGTAGATAGAGGTTCTTCATCATAATGTTTGTAGGCTCTTGAGACTCAGAGAGTGAACTCTTAAAATAGCATTGTCTGTCATCTTTACTTAAAAAGTGTTTTCTTTGTATTTACATGTCATACAAAAATATACAATTAAAACGAATAAGTTAGATGCATTTATTTTTGTAGGTGTGAACCTGTGACAGTCTAGATCCTACAGACCCTTATAACTACAGTTTGAAAGTATTTTCTCCTATTCTGTAGACTGTCTCCTTACTGTGTTGAATATTTCTTCTGCTGTGCATCAGCATTAATGCACTTCTGATGCAGTTTGTATTAGTTCGCTTGCTTTTGTCTCTTTTCCTAACTGCTTTTGAATTGATGAATATAACTTAGATTTTTAATGTAGTTACTGTTATTAATTTATTGTCTTTATAAAACAGCTGCTGCTGTAGGCATCGCACTATACACAATTAACTTTTCCATGACCTTAGAGCTAATATACTACTTAGCATGAATTGAGAGATATTGCAGCCGTTCTTGTCCGTTTATGTCCCCCTCCCCTCACTTACATGTATCCAGTCTTCATTTCTTTTATAAAATTCTTTTTTTTTTCCATTTAGAAAATGTTTGTGTGCGTGTGGGTGTGCGCATGTGTGTGTGTGTGCATGTATGTGTGTGTGCGTGAATATCATGGAGCACATGTGGAAGTCAGAGGAAAACTTGTGAGAGCTTAATTTTTCTCCTTCCACCATTTGGGTACTGGGACTCAAACTCAGGTTGTCAGACTTGGTGGCAAGCACTTTTACCCACTGAGCCATCTTGCCAGCCTTTATTTATTATTTAAAAATTTGTTTTTACTTTTCATTAGGCATATACATGTCTGTGAGGTGATATGTACATGTAAGTAAAGATGCCCATGAAGGCTAGAAGATTGTGTCAGATCCCCTGGAGCCAGAGCTCTAGACAGTTGTGAGTAACCTAATATGAATGCTGGGAACCAAACTTAGTTCCCCTGTAAGAGTATCAAATACTCTTAGCTGCAGAGCCATCTGTCTAACCCACTTTCATTTTTGCTTAAGATCTAAATTTTAATTTGGTATTATTTCACTTCAGACTGAAGAGCTTTCTTTATCATTTTTTTAATCACTTTTATTTTCTAAGATTTTGTTTTTATTTTATGTGGATGAGTGTTTTGCCTGCGTGTATTTAAGTACATCCCATGCATGCAGTACCTGTGGCCAGAAGAAGACATCAGGTCCCCTGGAACTGGAGTTAGGGTGGGTGTTAGCTGCTATGTATGTGCTGGGAACCGAACTCTGGTCCTCTGCCAGAGCGACCAGGCAGGGCTCTTAACCACTGATCCATCTCTTTAGCCCCTCTTTGTCATTTCTTATAGAGCTAGTCCATTGGGATGGATGCCTAAAGAGTTCCCTTTCGGGGGTGGGGGGATCTTTTTGAGACAGGGTCTCCCTGTAGCCTCAGCTGTCCTGGAATTCACTATGTAGACCAAGCTGGCCTTGAACTCACAGACCTCCACCGGCCTCTGCCTCCTGAGTGCTGATCCAAGGGCATGCACCACCATGCCTGGCAGATTTCCCTTTTTTGAAGAGCCTTTTATTTTATATATATATTTACTCCTTTTGTTTTTTGTTGTTTGTTTGATTTTTGAGACAGGGTCTCCCAGCTGACCTGGAACTCACTATGTAGGCCAGGCTGGCCTTGATCTCACAGAAGTCCGCCTGCCTCTGCCTCCTGAGTGCTGAGCGTCACTATGCCCAGCTTTTTTCTCTCTTTTTTTGTTTTGTTTGTGTGCTCTTTATTTTTTGAAAGCAGGAAAGGTATACATTTTCAATGTGAACAGCACCAGAGAAACCATTAACCTAGTGACCTCAGGTCTGCCTTTTAGGTTACATGGAGAAAGGATCTAGGCAAGAGGGTTTGTGTAGCTGGCCATCTTGGTTATGTCATAGGCTAGTGGATCATTGTCCAAGGATTGGAGTCTTGTCCTAGGATTTGGAGTTTTTTTTAAAAGTTTTTTTTTGTTATTGTTGTCTTTGGTTTTGGTTTTTTTAATGGGAATTCAATGTGTAGGTTTTGTTATGACATCGTCTTCTATGTCATATTTTCTTCTCATTCATCTCATCCCCCAGGGGCCTCACCTAGGCCACCTGTATCTCTCTGGGCTGTCTCCCTGTTTCCCCTAGATAACTCCTCATCTGCTTTCATGTCACATGAATTCTATTACTCTCTTTTTTCTTCCTCTCTTAAGATATCTTTCTCCCTTCATGATCACCTTTCTAGTCTTAACACAGATAGACAACACACATGTACACACACATACATATACACACAAACATAATTTAAAATCTAGGACCCATATATGAGAGAACATGGGGTATTTGTCTTTCTGAGTATGGCTTATTTCATTTAATACAATGATTTTCATTTTCATCCATTTCCTATAGATATAATCATTTCATTTATCTTTATGACAAAATAAAATTCCATTGTGTTTGTGTACACGTTTTCTTTATCCATTCATCTGTTTGTGTACACATTTTCTTTATCCATTCATCTGTTAATGGGCATCTAGGTATTTCTATTTCTTGGGTTTTGTGAATAGTGCCTCAGCAAATATGGATGTGCAGGCATGTCTGAAGTATGTTAACTGAGAGTCCTTCAGGAAAGTACCAAACAGTGATATGGCTGGGTCATATGGTAGTTCTACTTTAAACTCTTTTTTAAAACGTGTGTTTATGTGTATGTGTTTATGTCGGAGTGGGGGTGCACATGGGTGTGGAGGCCAGGCACCCTCAAGTGTTGTTCCTTGGGAGCCATCTATCTTATTTTTTGAGACAGCGTCTCTCACTAGCCTGAGGCTCACTGATTCTGCTAGGCTGGCTGGTCAGTGAACCTCAAGAATCCACTTGTCTCTGCCTTTCCAGTGCTAAGATTGCAAACATGTGCCACCTCACCCAGTTGTTTTTTGTTCTTTGTTTTTGTTTTTGTTTTAAAATGGGCTCTGGGGATCACAGTCAGATCCTCATGATTACATGGCACGTACTTGAATGACTGAACTATGTCCCCATCCCTGTTCTTAGTTTTTTGGGAAACCTCCATACTGATTCCCATAGTGGCTACTCAAATGCACATTCCTAAGGACAGTGCATAAGATTCCTCTCCCCTCACCCTCACCAGCATTTGTTGTCTTTTCTTTTTCTCAACGACAGTCATTCTAACTGTCTGACTGTGGTGAGATGTAACCACAGAGCAGTTTTGATTTATATTTCCCTGATCACGAAAGATTCTGAACCCTTTTTCAAGTATTTTATTGGGCATTTATAATTCTTTTGAGAACTTTCGAAAATTCACTTCATTAGCCTGTTTATTGATTGGATGATTTGGTTTTTTGGTATGCAATTTTTAGTTGTTTTTTTTGTTTATTGTATATTCTGGCTATTAATCCCCTGTTTGATGAGTAGATGACAAAGATTTTTTTCCCCACTCTGTAGGTTGTCTCTTTACTCTGATGACTGTTTCCTTTGCTGTTGAAGAAACTTTTAAATTTCATATAATCCAATTGTTAATTCTTGGGATTATTATCTGTGCTATTGGAGTCCTTTTTAGAATGCCTTTGTTGATAACCTGAAGTGGTCTACCTACATTTGCTTCTGTTGATTTCAAACATTCGTATCTCATTTAAGGTCTTTGATCCATTTTTAGTTGGTTTTTGTACAGGGTGAGAGATAGGGATCTAATTTTGTTCTTCTACATGCTAGTAAATAGTTTTCCCAGCACCATTTGTTGAAGAGACTGTCTTCTCAGTGTGTGCTTTTGTCATCTTTGTCAAAATTAGGTAGCTGATTATGTGGGTTTATTTCTGGGTCCTTTATTCCTTTGGTTTACTTGTCTAGTTTTGTGCCAATACCATGCTGTTGTTGTTACCATGGCTCTTTAATGTAATTTGAGATCAGATTTTTTCATCTCCAGCATTGTTCTTTTTGCTTAATGAATGCTTTGACTATTTAGGGTCTTTTGTGCTTTAATGTGAATTTGAGTGTATAGGTAGCATCCAGTAATACATGCATTCTCATAATAATTCTGCCAGTCCCTGAGCAAGGGAGGTCTTTCCATCTTCTGGTATTCATTTTTTTCCTTCAGTGTCTTATTAAAGTTTTCATTGTAAAGCTCTGTCTGTCATCTCCTTGCATAGGTTTATTCCTACTTTATTTTTTTGAAGGTATTATGAATGAGAATTTCCCCAAATTCTTGCTTAGCAAATTCATTATTGCCGTTATAGAAAAGCTACTGATTTTTAGATGCTCATTTTGTATCCTGCATCTTCGCTGAAAGTATCAATTATAAGAGTTTTATGGTGAGTGACACATGCCTTTAATACCAGCACTTCGGAGGCAGAAGCAGGCGTTTCTCTGTGAGTTTGAGGCCAGCCTGGTCTACATAGGGAATATTAGGCCAGCTGGGGCTACAGGAGACCCTGTCTCAAAAAAAAAAAAAAAAAAAGAATAGGACCGTGTTATGTATAAACAGGGATAATTTGACTTAATCCTTTTCTGTTTG